CAGAAGGTGCTTCCTGAAGCCAAGAAAAATGGCATTGCAGCTATCACCTTATTATCACTGCTGCATATATGCTTGTATTCTTCAATTTTTCTCATCATCTGATTTGAAAATGTAGCTGATTAGATACATACATAGATAGATAGATGGATGGATGGATGGATGGATGGATGGATGGATGGATGGACGGACGGACGGACGGACAGACAGACCTATCTATCTATTCTGACTATTCTGACTGAATTGCTTTGCCCTAAATGATAATCCCATCATCCTGGAGCTGAAGGTAGATAGTTTTGTAGATAGGCTGGCCTAGTCTTTCTTAATGGGCACCAAATATCTGCTGGAGGCAGGAAATTGTTTTCTGTCTTTAAAGCATGTTTTGTCTTTTATCATCTAGGCAACTATAATATTCTGCCTTTTAAATATTTCCTAGAACATTTCATTCTCCTGGGAGGAGAGTGGCTTCCCACAATGGAACAGAACAAACTATTATAATGCACAATTATATATATAAAAAAATTGCAATGAACAAACCATCACTTCATCTCTTCTAATATAGCTGAAAAGTGACTCCTTTTTAATTAAAAGGGAATTAGTTCACCTTTCATTGGTAAATAGGTTGTATTCATAGCTTTCATAGTCATGGGTTTCTGTTATGACTTGATTGAAAGATGATAGTAACATGAAATATATTTTACTGTGTGATTTATTACACAAAGAATGTTGTCCAAGGTGCTGCAGAGGAATAAAGGATGACAGTGTCAGTGCACAGCTTGATACACTGACGATGCTTTTTCTGGCGTGGTTAAATCACTGCTTTCAGCATGTGCTGGTTGTTGGGCTGAAACTCCATTTGTTGTTCCAGTGTTGGTCTTTTCGTTGCTCTTTAACTCTCATCCTTTTCTGCACTTCTCTTAGTTTGGCCCAGAGTCCATTTAAGGTGCTTGGGAAGTTATATTTTCTTAAGGGTGCATGGAAGACATACCTTAACTAGTCTATGTGAATGCAGCTCCTGTCCCTCTTGCTAGACAAGGAATTGGCAGCAAATCTTGGTCACCCAATTCCTCACAACTTAATTTAGCTTCTTGGCTCGAACATGGCCACAATGGGATAAAAACCTTGAGTGCAGATTAAAATGAAGTTGTATTATTAAGTAGCCGATCACCCTTTGTCCCCATGAGACTGCACTTCCCTCACGGCGGTTCAAATCTGATATTTCTTCTTCCTTCTTTTCCCAAGTTTCAGTGGAATTTTTTTTAAAAATTGTGCTTCCTGGCCAAAGGGTGGCTGTTTTTTCTTGATCTGGTATTTCTGGTCTGTCAGAATGAAGGGCTTCTGGCTCACTAGCTACCCATGCTGTGATTCTTCTAGAGTTCAGTGGTAAATTAGGTCAAGTGATTTGGGAGCAATTTTGCTTGTAGAAAAGGATGGGTCATTCCAATCCTTCAGAGTAAGGTTGATGAGAACAATGATGTACACTAAGATAAAGTTTAGTTTATATTAGATTTTACTATTATAATCAAAATTCTGAACAAAATGTTGCTGCTATAACCTGTGCCAATATGGGAGCTGTTTCCCTTCAAATAAATTCCTCTTCTTCATATGAATGGCAGCAAGGCCATCAGCAGTTGGAAGGGGGTAAAAATATGTTGATGCTTGTAGTCTTGCAATCAACCCAACCCTACTCAATTGACTTCCTTTGACATGCCTCCCCATAGAAACTCTTGTTTTCCCAATATGTTTTCATCTTTCAGATGTGATTTTTCAGTTGGAGGGAGACAGATAATACAGGGTGATAGGAAGACCAGCCAAGATATCTTGTCCTTCCTTCCTTCCTTCCTTCCTTCCTTCCTTCCTTCCTTCCTTCCTTCCTTCCTTCCTTCCTTCCTTCCTTCCTTCCTTCCTTCCTTCCTTCCTTCCTTCTTTCTTTCTTTCCTTCCTCCAGGAATGTCTTCAAATGGATAATTTCTAAATTGTATAGATATTGCATCTTTTCCTTTCCCTCAAGATGGAAACTGATAAAAGACTTAGGGGTTACAGATTACAAACTATATCATTAGAATCCCTTGTAGAATTCTTGAAGGACACAGGGCATTCATACCATAAAAAACTTGTTTATAGCAGCATTTCTCAAACTTGGGATTTTTAAGATGTGCTGACATCAATTCCCAGCATCGCTGCGTGAAATAAAAGATTGCATATGTGAACAATACATAATGGACACGGGTGGTACAATAAAAATTATTACACGGGATTATATATTTTGATTCACATAGATGTTTTTGATGTTAAAGAACATGGATCTTTATGGAATGTAATTTACTTATTTTTATCTCAGTTCTCTGATATTGACAATGGATAGTAATGTACTTTTCATTGTAAAAGTTTCTTACTGTGCTGTTGTTAAGATTTACAGATCCAAATTCCAAAATACGTGGGAATAAATGCTTTGAGCAAATCCACAAGTACATACACAAATATATTAAAGAGTTATGCCCTGTTTGGAGTATAACCAAAAAGTGCCAGAGCAAGCCAAAGTATAATTTTTTTTTAAAAAAAGAAAATATAATTTTGACGTTAAACTGAAAACTTTTCTTTTATGATTCATGAAATGGTATGTATCAGATGGGTTTGTGGTATGCGTGTGGGTGAGGCCGGCTGTGTTTTAAGCTTGGCAACTGGGTCCTGCTTCCAGTGGATTTGGAGATGCCAAATGGTTGCTGCTCCTTTTTCTGGAGCATATTGAAGAACATTTTCTGAAGCAAGGAGTTTCTCTTAACAGTTGTGTCCTCATTATGTATCCCCATGAGTTAACAGCTCAGACAAGTACATCCCCTTGAATCAGAGATGGGTTGCGAACTGGTAGTAGTGCCACATGTAACAACATATTTTGTTTTTACCTTCATTACATAAACCAGCTTTATATTCCTTTTTTTTTACTTTTGATTATGTTAATCTATAGTTAATTCAAATATTGTCATAGGCTTTTATTTCTCTTAATTTCTTCTTTGTCCCATTACATAATTTTTCAAGGATCTTTTTAATGAGCCTCTTTTGTGAAGCAAATTGGAAAAAACTTACCTAGGTCACTTGTGTCATTTGTATTTCCCTTTTAAAATTTAACCCTCAGTTAATTTCTTTTGTAGACATTGTGAAACATCTTTTCAAATCCATTCTCTTGGCCTGTCCTTATATATCCGTTTTCAATGTTAATACTCTGTTTACTACATTC